GATTCTAATGTGCAGCCCAGAGTGAGAACCAGGGGTCACATTAATATTACCACTTATCCAGGCTCCTTGCTCCAAGCCCTCAATGGAAGCAACTCAACTGGCAGAGAATGGGAGAGAGTCCAGCAATAGCTGACACGAGACGGTAGACTTTTACTTAGAGAGTTCCAGATCTGAGAAGCAGTGGAGCACCACGGAAAATGCATGGACACTGGAGTGGTCAGACCTGAGTTCAAATTCCAACTCTACTCTTTATTAACTGTGTAACCTTGGGCCGGCCACTTGCCTTTTGTGGTTGTTCTACAGATGCGATGGGATGATATGAGAAAAGCCCCAGGCATATAACATTGCTCTATATCAATGGTAGTTGCTTCTGTGGTTGTTGTTGTTATTATTACTACAATGGTAATGACTACTGCCAGGAGGCATTAGGAGTGAAAAAAATCAAATTACAGAAAAACATTTTTTATTAGTCAAATAATTCCTGCTTTTATTACTTAGCATTTAATTTGCAGCTATTTATATTGCAAATTAGCTTGGCAATCATATTTCTCATTCATGACAACTGGGTAAGGGCAACATTATTACTCCCGTTCGCCACAAGAGGAAAAGACAACATATCCATCTATTCTGTCTCTAGTTTCTATGATTTTGTGATTAGACACCTGCAATCATGTTCATTAGTTCCCTATGAAAAATGATACTCAACGCAGATGGCAAATGCAGGAAAGAAGAATTAACAAGCACTTGATAGCAACCCCAAAATAACATCTACATAATCACTTCTGAACATTAAAGTCATGGCAAACAAGTTCCAATTTATATAAAGATGTCAGAAAGGATTAAGGAAAAATGAACAAATACATTTTTCTTTATCCTCATTCATTTAGGAAATGTCTGACATAGCTCAGAAATCCTATTTGAAATGCAGAAAGAGAATGGTTCATTTCCTCTAAGAAGGGTCTTCCATTAGCAGATAGGAAGACCCTAATATGTCCTGATATTTTATCTTAAACCAGAGCCACAAAGTAGAAGAGATCTAAGATGGAGAGACCCAATTCAGTAGTTCTCAATCAGGATCCCCAAGAAGCCCGTGGGCTGGGGGCAAGGGCCCCACAACTTCCAATGTACACCAAACACATTCCCAACACTGGAGAATGGCTTGCTCACAAATACCATCTCTTTGTCATATGTACGTTTCCATGAATGAGATACAAATGCCTCTAGACATACTACTGAATTCATAATCACTGTACATAACCACTATTACAGGGGGAGGAGAGTCCTCAATTTTCTGTTATTCAAAAGGAGTCTTCATCCAAAAGGTTAGGAAACACTGATCTAATACAGTCCCCTAATTTCACTGAATAGGTCTTAGAAGATATTGGGACAACTGGGATTCCTATAATCTAGGTTTTCTAATTCCCAAATGGTCTTTGTCCCACACCATACATCCCTTCCAATGGGAAGTTAACAGCCGTGGTCATGTCCTCTTCCTAATATCTCTTCTCTTTCTAAAAGAGGAGAGTATAGTCCTACCCACTGTCACTGGATATGTGCCAGAATTTTCTATATATCCTGAATCTGTCCTTTCTCTTCTTTTCCTTCCCCTGCTCAACTCTCCAGTTCATGCCTTTAGGGTTGGCAGCACTCCACCCCCTTTCAAGCTCCGATGCTCTGTAAGTGCCCTTGGACATTTAGTCTTACTATGAAGGTACTGAATAAGGAATGTGTTAAGTCTGTATAAAATATGCATATGTATGAATGTATTTTATAGTTAAAACCCCAGAACTTCTGTATCTATGGAAAATAAGAAAATTGGTATATTCGTGAATAATCATTTTATTTTCTCTGAACCTGTCAACACTAACAGGCACTTAAACCCCTAGCCTACCAACTTTTCAAAATGCTTTCACGTCTCTTATTTCAGTTTATTGTCCCAATTGGTCACTAAAATGTGTTACTGGAGCACAATCAGAACTTAAGTGCCATGACAAGTAGAAATGCTATCTATTTTATTCATAGTCCTCCCCCGCCCTCCACCCGCCCAATAGCTAAAACAGTGCCTGGCACATGGTAGGCATTCATTCAACTAATGTTTGTTGATTGACTGAATCAACCGTAAATAGGAATGACAGGTTTATTTATTCATCATTTAGCCTACAAGTAGTTTTATTTTTATTTGAGGGGATAGAATGATCTACAAGGAAAGAACTGAGTCCCTAATAATCTTTTCTGTCTTCAATTCTCCTCGTAATATTTGACTTAACATCCTTTCCTCAAATAATTTTAATGTAATTCTTCAAAATTATACAAGTAATACATTCATTTTAGGAAAATCAGAAACTACCAATAGATAAAAAGAAATAAAAGTTCCCTATATTCCCATAACCCAAGGAAGACACAATTAACATGCTCATGATATCCTTTCAGACTTTATCCTGTGTGCTCAGTACACACATAGACACACACACACAGCTGACATAGTTCCACAACTCTCTGTCCTAGATTCTATGATTTGGAGGTGTGTTTTTTTTTCTTCCATAAGCCCTTTTTTTGGGTCTCCTACAATAGCTCCTTATCCTCTTCCTATATCCTAAATATATTCCTTCCCCAACATTTAGATCCTGAGTTCAAGAGGATGTTTTCCCCTTTTCCTTCCAGAAGATTCATCTGTTCTTATTCAACTTTAAATTTGTTGTGGGTATCTTGTGTCTTCAGTTTTCCCTTTCCTCTGGGATACCAGAGTCCTACATGTCTAAAACCAAATGAATCCTGTTCCAACAAAACCAGATCACTCTTTCCCCCCATTTCTGTCAACTGTCACACAATTCTACAGGCTATCCTCAACAGTCACCTTTGGTCCCCCAACCTCAAAGCGATTTTCAGCCTTGCTTCGGATCATCTCTCTCACCCTTCTCTTCTCATTGCTACTATTATTGTTTAGGGCCTTACATCTGTATCATTTTCTGCCTGGGTCTCCTGCTTGTTGTATAACAAAACACCTATCAAAGTTACCCACGGCTGCCGGGTAACTTCCTAAAACACCACTTCCATCTTGCTATCCCATAGTCAGAAATGTGGGATGGCTGCCTACTCTTACAGAATGGTACTGCAGCTTCTTCACGGTCTCAGCTCAGACTACTTTTCCATCCTTATTTCTCATAATTCTTTAAAATAAACCTCTTGCTCCGGCCAGCCTGGTATCCTCAGTACTCACCCAACATCTGATTGTGAGTTAGGTATTTATGAAGTACTTATTATGTGTAAAAACCCTTCATTCACTCGACAGATATTTACTGAGCATCTATTCTATCAGGTAATGTGCTGTTGCTGGGGATGCAAAGGTGAACAAGACACACCAGGTGCCTGTCCTCATGGACCGTAGAGGCGAATGCGTTACAGAGAGGAGACTCTGAGACATGGTGGTCCCAGCTCAGGGTACATCCAGATGTTCCATTAAAATGTCAAATGAGTCGAGAAATCCCTGAGGGCTGAACGTTGTGGCCCAGGGGAAGGATTCAGAAGAAAGGAAGGGCAGAGTGAGGAGAGCTCGAGTGTGAGAAAAGGCTTCTCTGAAGTGGGACTCAACTTGGGCCTTAAAGGATGGGCTACTAGAAAAGGGGGTGCCCTCCATCCAGGGGGATGCGAGGAAAGGCACAAAGGCGGACCGGAAACAGCAGCAGCAATGGCAGGGGCTTATTCTGTACAAAGGTTCCCTCAACACCATTCAGCAGAGCCCATGCTCCCTCCCTGCGGCCCCGGGCTCCTGGGTGGATGTGAGTATGACTCAGGCTCGGCTCCTACATGCAGGGATGGCCATCCAGCCAGGAGGAGGAGGTAGGTCTGTGATGACTTACAGCGCCCTGGAAAGGGAGACATTCATCCCATCAGAGATTCGGGGAAAACGGGGAGAAAAGTTCAGGAGGAGGTAGCTGCCTGGGCCCCTACTGTAGTATTTATAGAATCAAATGTCTTTACAGAGGTACGTGCACCTACTGGAAATAACTATGTGGTTTCAAATGTTTTCTCACTCGTGTTCTCCTAAGTGACCAGTGAACCGGGCAGAGTAGGTAAGATGTGTTTTCCAGACGATCCAAGTGCGGCACAGACCGTGTAAGTGACCTGCTTAGGTCAGACACACACACAGGCTAGAGTAGCACACGAACGCCCTGTGCACCTCGGCGGGTTCCTGCAGCAGAAGCTCGGAGCGGGGCGCGCACTGCAAGGCCTAGGACCCTGCAGGACGCCCGGCCGGGGGCACTGAAGCCGCGCAGGCAGCTTGGATGTAAACGGGCAGGATGCGGGCAGCCTGAGAGGGTTTTGGAGAGGGAACGCGACCCAGAAAGTCTTCTATATCCTCCCCCCAGCCTTCTGAACTATAAACATCCTTAAGTTTCACCCCAAATCTCTTTTCATCCACTGATTTAACCCAACTAACCTCCCCGGGAGTCCGCGACAGGATGCCCCGCCAGAACACGGCTCGGCTCAGGGCAGTGAGTGAATGAATGAATGAATGAATGAAGTCATTAACTCCGGGGACCTGCACCGCTTAGGGAGCAAACCCTGAGTCCTTACCTCCCTCCCCAGGAGGGTAGGATGCACGGGCCGCCCTCGCCACCCCGGAGGAACGAAGGGGACGGGTGGCAAAGGCCGAGGGCCCGAGTTCCAGGGCCACGGGACCCCGCGCCGCTCCAGGCTCGAGCCCCCCACTGGAAGCTGGGGCTCGCCTCCCACACTCCCACCAAAGGCGCTACCTGCGATCGCTAACTATTTCCCCATCTGGAAAATGTCGGGGGAAGTGGCGACCAGCAACGCCAACGCCGGGGGAGCGCTGGTCGGGAAACGTGAGGGAGGAGGGCCGAGGGGTCTTTTCCAGCTCCCGCCAGGGGGCTGGAAGCCTCGCGAGATTTGGGGTCGCGCTCGGCGTGGCGTTGCTTAGCGACGCGGAAGACGCTCGCGGGCCCCCAGGCTAACCCCCGCGGTCGCCTGAAATCGCCTACCATGGGGGACGAAGGCGGCGGCCGCGGCTGTGGGCCCGCTAGGGAGCTGCGGAGGCTGAAGCAGCAGGCGCTGGAGTACTACCGGGAGAACGACGTCCCGCGCAGGCTGGAAGAGCTGCTCAACTCCACCTTCTACCTCCAGCCTGCCGACGTCTACGGGCACCTGGTAGGGACCTGGGACAGCACCCGCTTCCCTCCAGCCCCTCCCCCCCCGCCCCGCGCTGCGGCAACGCTGTGCGCCTGCGCCGCGAGGTCGCGCACGCGCATCGCTGCCGCGGGCTTGGCGACCACGGTGGTGCGGGAAGGCGATCCTGCAGGGCAGCCGCCGAGCGGGGAACCTGGGGCGGAGGAGATTCCAGAAAGAAAGTGGTGGACGGGAAGCAGCTGGAGGGTGGTGGGCTCCAGGCGGATTTGTTGCTACGGCGACAGCTCGGGGGCTGCCAGGCTTCCTCGCTGCCTCGGGACCGGCCGGCCCCGGCTGCCGGTTGTTCTTGTAAACACAGACCTTAACACCGCGCAGCTGAGTTTACCCGCCTCCAGCGGCCTCCTCTTGGTCACGGGATGAACGCGCTGGCTGGCGGGGACCTCAGGCCCAGCCCGCTCCCATTGCTTCCGAGTTTCATTCACATCAAGCCTGGCTCCTGCCTGGATGCCTGCTCCCACCTGACCAGCACCCACTGAACTTCCATTTCAGATCAAAGCCTTGGCTGCTGCGCCCTGGACTGGTTGTCCTTCGGCGGTCCCAGTCCCTGCGGCATTTATTTTTTTTTATTTTTATTTTTTGGATGCACAGTAAGCTCCTTGGACAGCAGGCGCCTTTTCCTATCACCTTCCTGGTTGCTGTGCCCAGTGCGATTTCTGGCACAAACCTTAGCCTGAAGCAATGAGCAGTTAAAATAAAGCAAGCGTTTTCTCGCTTCCAGGCCCATAAGTATTAACCAACACCTACCTTCTGGAAGGCTGCGTGGTGGTCCGGACTAGCAGGAGTTTGCACTATGGTGAGGTGTGACAAGGAGCAGAGTCTGTAAATGCTGTGAAGAAGCCGGATGTGTTTACAGGGTTCAGAAGCACATGTTATGGAGACAGTGGGTTCACAGGATTCTTGAGGAATGTTTGTTTTTCTCTCGTGGCCTATTACATCAAAAGTTGGGGGTGGCCAGGGGATTGTCAAGGGCAGGGGGGAAAAAAGGAGACATATGTAATACTCTTTGTAATACTTTAGGCAATAAAAAAAACAAAGTTGGGGGTGGACTGAGCGCGAGGTGTGTATTGCGTTCCTTGTGTTAAGTGCTTTATATGTTATTTCACTTAATCCTTGGGACCCCTGTGAGGTAAAAATTATGTTCCCATTTTACAAATAAACTGGCCCAGTGAACTTAAATTTTTCCCAAGGGGTACAAAGAACTGCAGGGAGAAATCAAACCAGGTCTTTGTCCCTAGTACCCAGCAGAGGTCCTGGTACATAGTCGACACTCCCAAACTATTTATAGGATGAATGAATGAATTAATGAATGCAACTCTGAAGTCCACTATTTCTTGCTAGAGGAAATCTTGAAAGTTAACTGGTCCAAGCTCCTCATTTTACAAAGACACCAAGCTTTTGTCTCAAAGCTACTTAGAGCAAAAGCTAAGACTAGAAACTTGGACTCTGGTTCCCTGGTGTAATGCTCTTCCCAGTCTATCAGGCAGCCAGGACTTTAGTTTGCGTAGCTCTCTGAGAGTTTATACTTTGGTTAGAGGCAAAGCCAAATATTTTTAAAAATGGATACTAGATAAGGTGATATACCGTTGTGTGCTAGACTGAGGGACAGATCACTTAAGCTTACTAAAGTATTCAGGGTTGGGAAAGATCCCTGTGGGCTGTAGTGTCTGGGAAAGTTTTGGCTTGGACTTTGAAGATTGTTAAGGAATTTGGGTGGGCAAAAAAGCCCACTTTTCCTTCTCACTGCCCTAGTTTGAGCCTTCCTTATTCTCACCTAGTCTCTCCTATTGTGCCCATCGCGCATAGTGCTGCTAGCGCAATGTTCCGGATCTTAAATCTGACCATCATTCTTTTGCTTGGAAACTCCTGTGGCTACCCTTTGCCTGCCAAGTGAGATCAAACACCTTCCGGTGTGTGATTCATAGCGCTCCCCTCTCTACCTCTGGTAACCCTCCCTCCTTCCCTGACTCCTCCATGCGGCCCACTTTCCCCTAAAGCCAGAAGTTTCCCACCTCCCTCCCCTTTCCTTATCCTAGTCCATCTACCAGAAGTATCTACACTGGGTTTCTATCATCTACCTGTTGAAATACTGCACCTCCTCCAGTATTGAGCTCAAATGCCATTTCTTGCATGCTTCTCTTACATATTTTTTTAAAAATATATTTTATTACAGAGAGGAAGGGACAGGGATAGAGAGCTAGAAACATCGATGAGAGAGAAACATCGATCAGCTGCCTCTTGTACACTCCCCACTGGGGATGTGCCCACAACCAAGGTACATGCCCTTGACTGGAATCGAACCTGGGACCCTTCAGACCGAAGGCCAACGCTCCATCCACTGAGCCAAACCGGCCAGGGCACTTCTCTTACCTATTAAAGGATTCAGGTCCTTGTGGGCAATAGCAATACTCTTTATTCCTTCCTCACAAAATTCACAGGTGAAAGAGTGTGGGACTGCGAATCAGGCAGAGGCTTAGCCCTATAATAGACCGTCATCTTGGTGGTCCCCAATGAACCATTCCAACCAGAGTGAACGGACTTGTGAGAGTCCCTTCCACCGTGACTCAGAATTGGCCTTGTGACTGGCTTTTATCAAAAGCCATTGGCAGGCATGATGCAGAGGCTTGGTAAGTGCTGCCACATCACGTCTGGTAGGTAGTCTTGGAACAGCCCCTCTTAGAATCTAGTCATCATGCTGCTACGCACAAAGACACCCGATGACCCTGCCGCAGGGAGAAAGGTCGTGCAGAGAGAGGCCCTGGTAGTTTGAGACCTGTCCGGATGCTGAGTCATGAGCCTGGCGTGCTTACGAGAGCGCCCTGCACCTTCTGTCTTAGCTCCTGAGTAGAAACACCATCGCGAATCTTTTTATTCGGGCTCCTTGAGTGGGCTCTCCACCTCAGCTTCATTCTCTTTCTTCCATCTCGTTCTTGGATCGCTCCCACATGGCTCCTGCTCTTCTCCCACATCCATGGAAGTGCTATTACCAAGGTTCCAACAATCCTCTTCGACCCGGTGGAGAAAGGAAATGGGGTAATTCTATGCGTGAACCGATGGCCAGTGCAGCACAGTCTCTGCATAACTCTTCAGCATTCAATTATCAGAGGCCTTGCTGGGAGGAATAAAAACTGGCCCACGTAAGGTTTCTTACGTTTTAATGCATCCGTGTTCTAGGGACCAATTGACGCTGGTATCTTGGAGGGATAGGTGAGGGCCAGCTAAAGAATGACACAGGGCCTTGAACTAAGAAATGCATGTGAGTTTCTGCTGAGAGTTGAAAAGACAACAGATCACCCCATGTATCAGAGACTCAACATCAGGCGACACCCAAATCTCCGTGAGTGAGGGCGGGGCAGTTCCCACAGAGCAGCTAGAGCTAGACTCATCCTGGCATGAGGAGGACACTCGGGGTGGGGGGAGTTTGTTAGAAACTAGAGTAACTGTGAATGACCTTTTCAAGGTGAGTTAGGTGTGGTATCCTGACTTTTATCTTTCTGTGTTAAAGGCAAACTGCTTTTCTAAACTTGCGAAGCCACCCACCATCTGCAAAGTGGTGGGGAAGCATGTGCTGGACGGACTGGGGCTTCCCACCCTCCAAGTGGAAATATTCTGCACCATTCAGAATTTTCCCAAGGTACGAGGCCGCCTACATGGGTTCTTGGCTACACTTATTGTCTATTTTGTGGGAAACGAATGTTCTGAAATACAGTGTTTGTGAAGCACACCCACATACATTTTTTGGTAGGCATGTACATAAGGTAGGAACCATACAGTCAACCATGATGGCTTTGTTATGTTTCAGTGCGACATGGTACAGACATGGCATGCTAACTGGAAGACAATCCAAGGTGGGGAAAGGAAATGGAGCAAAAACCCTTTGAAAACCTGGCATTATGATGATGATGAGTTCCGTCAATCCGCAGATAGGCGTATAGATTGATATATTTACATCTAGATTCTATGTAGATTTAGCGAGAGAGAGAGTGAACTACCTAAAGAAAAATGCATTTTCACAATTTTAATAATTCATTTTAATTGCTACATTTTAGTAATTCCTATGCATTGTTAGAAGCAATTTTGCTATAGTTTCTGGAAGGAAAATAATTATGATTAAATCTGTTTGTATACTTTTTGCTATTTATTGGAAAGCTAGTGATAAAAGTGAGCTTAAATATATGGTTTTTCTAAGGGGATTTTGTTGTTGTTGCTGCTGCTAATTCTCAACCAAGGATATATTTTTTCCATTGATTTTTAGAGAGAGTTGGAAGGGAAGGAGGGAGGGGGGAAGAGAGAGAGAGAGAAAAAGACACATCAATTGGCTGGCCCAACTGGGGCTGGGGATTGAACCTGCAACCAGGTATGTGCCCTGGACCAGGAGTCAAACACGCGACCCTTCCGTGCGTGGTTCCACATTCTAACCACTGAGCAACACTGGCCAGGGCCTAAGGGGATTTTAACAAGGCAATAATTTTAAGTGTCCCCTGAAGTTGTGTTCCATAGTATTTCAGTAGCTGTAAAAATACCTCAAGGAAAATAATATATCCTCATTTTCCCTTTGAAAGTAGGAATAAAATATGCACATCAAAAGCCAGATACCTCTCCCATTTTCTGCAAGAGGTAGAGAAATTGTAGAACACGTTGTATTCTTTTCAGTACATTTGTTCTGTGATGATGGCGACTCACTTCGAAGTCTACGAGAACTCTGTGCCCGAGCTAGCGGAAGCAACGGAAGCAGAGAGGTTGGATGCCGTCAGCATTGCTGTGCGGTGGGTCAACGAAAACATCACCCAGGAGCTTCAGGGCCTAGAGCCCTCCAACCAGGCTGAGGTGGACCAAGTGCTCAGGTAAGTCTTCCACTGTGAAATGTAAGTGTGCAGTCCTAGCCGGTTTGGCTCAGTGGAGAGAGCGTCGGCCTGCAGACCGAAGCGTCCTGGGTTTGATCCCCGTCAAAGGCACATACCTCGGTTGCAGGTTCCTCCCTGGCCTGAGCCCTGGTCGGGGCATATGCAGGAGGCAACCAATCAATGTGTTTCTCTCATATCGATATTTCTCCCTGTCTTTCCCTCTCTCTTCCACTTTCTCTTTAAAAATCAATGGAAAAATATCCTCGGGTGAGGATTAAAAAAAGAAAGAAAGAAATGTAAGTGTGTGGTATAAATACATATGTTTCCTTTCCATTCACCTGTCAATAAAACAGGTCTCTCATATCCATAGGATACAGCAGTTAGTCAGTTAAGAAGCCTATACTAAAGCAGCAAGCTTTAGCATAAAATGTTGCTTTTCTTCTGAAAACCATTATTAAAATTTTGCTGTGTAAGGCGACATAAGGACTTCCAACCTCTTTTCGTGCATAGAGCCTCCTTCGGATTCAGTAAAAAGATTCTCAGGAACAGAATTAAGGTTGGAGTTAATTAAGGTTGGTATAGCCCTAGGTTGGGCTACCAGCAGGTACCATCCATCCTCCCTCTCCCCGCCTCCTCATATACCCTCATTGAGCATCCCATAGCCTTCCATATAGTCACAATGAATGAGTGATGCTTATTTTCTGTCCTCCAGACACAAGCAGGTCTTCCATACCTTGCCCAGCAGTTGACTCTGAAATGTGAAAACCAAGGGACTGTTTAGTGGGGCTTTGTGAGTATTGTCCAGTGCGCAGTGAAGTGGAGGCTAGCATGACTTTTCCTTTTGTGCAGGTCCAGTGCCACCATCTCTTGGCCATACGAAGGTCAACTGGATTCTGTTTCTCTAAGCTTCATCCCCTGCTAAATTGCACATAACATTATATTTGAGTTTGCTCAGAGTTGGATCATGACCCTTGTAAAAACCTTTTTATAAAATTAGTTTTTGGTTTCTGAATGCTATTACACTTATTCCTTTGGTGTGTGTGTGGGGAGGCGGGGGTTCCTGTTATTATTCATACCTTCTATTCTGTACATTACTTCTTTTCTGGAGCTTTCCTTCCCCAAACCTCCCATCTGGACTGGCTCCTCTCTAGGCCTACTGCAGAGATGCCATAAGACATCCCTTCCTTGTTCTCCTATTGCCAGATCCCAGGTTCTCCTCTTTCTTAACTTGCTGGATTGTTTCCTTTAAAAGTAAGAATGAGAAAAGGATGTAAAGTTTTTGAGTTCTTAACATGTGTGAAAATGTCAGCACTTTGCTCTCATGGTTGACAGTTTAACTGAGTATAGAATTCTTGTTTAAAATCAATTTCTCTCAGCACTTTAACGTCACTGCCCCACCAGCGTCTGGATTATTAATTAGTCTAATGCAAATCAGATTCCCCTGTCTTTGTTGACTTATTGATGCTTTTGTCTACGGGAACTTTTAGCCTCTTTTCTTCTGTGTGACTGAAATTTTATATTGATGTGCCTAAGGGAGATTTCCCGAAAGTTTTTAAGCCCCACCCTCCAAAAAAAGAAGTCCTGCACATAGTGCTACATACTTCATTTTCTATTCTTGACTCATTTTTTCTTCTGACGGTCATTTATTGGAAAAGAAAATTCAATAGCCCTTAATCAAATTACCTCTTCACATTTACTTTACAAATAGAATCAAATCTCAAATTATTTAAAAACAAGGCTGAAATCTTTAAGCATTTATTTCCAGGCCAAAATTAATTTCAGTTCTTGAATACTGTTTCATAATAGCACCATTGTATTTTGGCCTTGGAAATTGAAGCTGATTGTTCTTAAGTAGCTAAAAAGCAGAGTTAATTATTAAAACATACTGGGGTCAGCACTAAAACATGACCAAAACTACACGGGATATCCCTAATTATGCCCCTCTACCGCCATATTTTCTTGCCATTAAGGACATTCTTTGAAAATAAAGTGCAAGAAGATAATGAGGGAAAAGAATTGGAAAAGAGCCTGGAAAACTCAGCAGTACACCTATCTTCCTCTCTGATGCCACCACCACCAACAACTCTTCCTCCTCCACCTCCGGCCAAAAAAAAAGGACAGAAGCAAGGTCAGTGGCTTATCATCTTGCAGAACCTTTAGTAACAAGCATGTGAGGAAAAAAGACTGAAGCTCAGACTGCCTTGTTGAAGTAGAGTCTCTTAGGTATAGCCCTAGGTTGGGCTACCAGCAGGTACCATCCATCCTCCATGCTACTTCCTTGCTTGAAGCTTCTATGTTGGGCTGTCAGGGTTTTACCCCATCTCACCCTCCGTTTATTTATTAACTTATTTTTGTAAGATGAACATAGTTCTTACCCAGAGGTGAGCATTTACGAAATACCCAAAGTACACTGAATGTGTGGCAATGCCGGAGACAGGGAAGGGGAAGGTGGCATAGGGGACCTTTAACTGCCCCTCAACATTTCCATTTGAGTTCATCAGGAAGCCACTCCATATTTTAAAGATAACCAACATTTTCTCAGTCCTATGTAACATGTTAATAAACAATGTATTTGGGACACTTTGCTATTGTAAAGCAAATAATCGAAGTCATCATGGCCCTTTGTTCCATGCCTTCCAGCAGTCCCTCCAGTAAGTTAATTCTGGAGCTGCTGCTTGTATTGTAACAGAATTTTGTATATCTGTCCAGCTAGAACACTCTCCTTGAGGGTATGAACCATGCTTTGTTCACTTTAGCACTGCCAGTGCCTAGCATGATGCCAAGTGCAAACTAAATACCCACTTAATGTGGTTCCATTGAGTAAAAAAGCACCAGAACCAGAAAGGGACCAAAGAGACCGTGGAGACAAAGTCTCTTATTTCGCAGATTCAGATGCTGAGGCCTGGGATGGGGGGGAGAATTGCCTTGGACAAAAAAAAATATGTTAGACCAATCTCTTGGGAGGGCAAGGACAGCCACTACTGAATTACATGTAGAGACCATCAATGGATATTCATTTGGCGGTTGCTTTTGACTGATAGAACTTGGAACACAAGAGAAGGGAAGAAGTCAGAGGGAACAGTAACTTGTTAAACATTTACTGTGCGCTAGGTGCTTACATCTTACTCCACTTATCTTACCTGCTTGACCCAAGTAGCTCTGGGGAAAAGAAGGACAGGAGAACACAAGAGACTAATGATGGACTCAGTGGTACCTGCTCAGCCTGGGTGGCCGAGAACATATGAGAGTGAAAGATGAAGGATTCTGGTTGGATGATTGGATCTGAAGGCATTTCTAAAAGAAAAGGCATTGGCTGGGGGCTGGTGAGAAAGATATCCTATATAATAAAAGGGTAATATGCAGATTGACTCTAATAGCAGAACGACTGGGAATGACTGGTCCCTATAACACACATTGACCACCAGGGGGTAGACACTCAATGCAGGAGCTGACCCCTGATGGTCAGTGCGCTCCCACAGGGGGAGCTCTGCTTAGCCACAAGCCAGGCTGACGGCTGCCAGCACAGCGGTGGTGGCGGGAGCCTCTCCCACCTCCTCAGCAGCACTAAGGATGTCTGACTACAGCTTAGGCCTGCTCCCTGCTGGCAAGTGAGGGCTCCCAGGCTACCAGAGGGATGTCTGACTGCCAGCTTAGGCCCAATCCCCCCGGGGAGCGGGCCTAAGCCAGCAGGTGGACATCCCCTGAGGGTTCCCTGACTGCGAGAGGGCACAGGCCGACTGAGGGACCCCCCCCCCCCCCCGAGTGCACAAATTTTTGTGCACCGGGCCTCTAGTATAGATATATGCATGAAGAGATGTTCAACATCAAGCTGGGTATACAAGAGTTGTGGTAGTATAGAGGAAAACAAAGGATTTAGAATCCTCTCTTTTTGAACTTTCTGATAAATATTGGGCAAATCTTTTGACATCTCTAAGCCCTAGTTTTGTTATAAGGGAATGTGGGATAACAATATCTGCCCATATTGAATGTTCTACAAATTTCTTAGGCAAAATCCATGCTAAGGACTGAGCATTGGGGAGTGGTAAATGAAGTCAAACAGATAACTTGTTGGGGGTTGAGGTGGAGAATATGTTATTCCCAGCCTCAGTTTTCAACCTTTCTTTATGCTGAGCTTTTGTATCTGTAAAGTAAAGCCTTAAAAAAAATAGTTTAATAGTTTTCTTAGAGTCAGACTTCCTAAAAAAGAATCTGTTATCAATGTTTTTCCCACCAGGTCGGAAGAGTACTATCATAGAGAAACCTATCTCACCTCCAGAGCCTGTTGAACCTGTGCTCTGTGGCAGCATGGCCATAGGGGCCGTGTCACTAGCTGTCGCCAAAACCATTGCCGTGCTGGACAGTAACCCTCTGTACTTCCATATCGCGTCCCTGAAGCACCATCAGGTTAGTCTCCATCACATTCTGTCACCAGGAGCCTGGGCATCTCGGTATGAAGGGACCATGTTTCTCATTTCCTCTTGCTTTTCTCCCATTTCAGGAACAGCCAGCAAAGCTAACTATTCCTTTGCTAATGGTATCTCTGGTCAGCTGTGGGAAGTCATCGCCTGGGAAGCTGAATTTAATGAAAGAAGTGATCTGCATACCCCATCCTGGATTAATGGCTAAACAAGTACCTTACGTTATCTCAGGCTACTTTTTCTAAAAAAAGATATACTCTATCGTCAATGTGTTTTTAAGTGTAGGTCCCCAGACTTATGACTCCAAAGGAGAGGGAATTAAATGTAAAATGAGAAAAAACATGTTAACACATCAGGGAAAGGGGAAGAAAGCAAAACCTCCAACAAACAGGAACACGGTCAGACCACCTGGGATCTCTGGTTCATTACAGCGCTGACTCATTCTAGTGGCTCACAGGGGAGCCACTTGCGTGTAACCGTGCAGGCCTTCTCCTGGGAGAGCTGAGCTATCTGGTCCGTGCACTCCAGCAGCAACAAGAGGGAGCTGGCACTTTCCTAGCAGCCCATTCTGCTGAGTTAGAAACTCCAGGGCCCGAAGATGAGAGATGGCAGGTTGCCAGGCACATAAGAGAGGGTTAGTGCATGTTTATGGACTATGGAATGAAGGAACCCTAAGTTGCATTTTTACTACTTAGCGGTGTGCTAGTGTCTATATTGTTCTTCATGTCTTGGCTGAGTCAATATCCTTTTTTAAAATTTTTATTTTGGTTAAATACCCAAGGATTGAGTTATGTGCCCTTGACCAGAATTGAACCCAGGACCCTTCAGTCCTTGGGCTGATGCTCTGTCCACTGAGCCAAACCAGCTAGGGCAATATCCTTCTTTAAATACTCATGAAGTATTCTACTAAGTAGGTATTGGGGAGAACTTCAGTGTTCATGTTCTATAGGGGATGTTTAGGGAGAAAGTACAGGAAGCTCCATTCCCTCTGCTAATACAGTGGTACAGTGAAAAATCATTGTTTTTTAAACCCCAAGACGGTTTGTGGTAAAGAATTCTTTTTTAAAGAGAATAACTATTGCCTCCCAATTTGTCAGTTGGAGACTAGGCTTTATCTCTGGCTCACCGTCTGTCAGATCAAGTTCAGATCCTGGTGCCAGGATCTTTCCTGTAGTGAAGACTGGGTGTGCGGTGTGGGTACCAGAGCACTGGCCCACCGTTCGTTATCTGCCTTCATATGCAGATCCCACTGTCATCAGAATATGCTTTCCCACTTTTTAAGTGACCGTGGGTTTATAGGAACTCAAACATTATCATGCAGAATCCCTTCGTGACCTGTGACGTGTAGTGAAAGAAGGTCCCGTCAAGAGTCCGTGAAATAGAATGAAGTGAACTTGATCCAACCATCTGAACCAGCCAGCTCCGGACAACGCAGAGAGGATACTGAGGAGGAAGAGCCTCTCATTCATGTTTGATGGACGGGAACCTGAGGGCTGACGATTAGCATTTAATCTTCTGATGTCATAGACCTTGTCAGGGACCCTACAAATATTCTGAGTTAGGAACAGCCCTGTGTGTGGTGAAATTTTTATATTTAAAACTTCTAGACTGGCCAAAACCGGTTTGGCTCAATGGATAGAGCGTCGGCCTGTGGACTGAAAGGTCCCAGATTCGATTCCAGTCAAGGGCATGTACCTGGGTTGCGGGCACATCCCCAGTGGGGGATGTGCAGGAGGCAACTGATCGATGTTTCTCTCTCATCGATGTTTCTGACTATCTCTCTCTCTTCCTCTCTGTAAAAAATCAATAAAATATATTTTTTAAAAAAACAAACTTCTAGACTGCCGTTGTGGAAGATCATGTTTATTCTGCTTACAGGGTGTGGAGATGCTTATGGAAATTCAGAAGCAAATAAGCAAGACAATTGAAACGGTAAGTAATCTATGGCATCTGGTTACTGACGCTCATATAACTTCTAGTGCCCAAATTATAGTTGGTTATGGAATTAAGTCAATAATGTTATTGATATGGAAAATGTGTTCGTTTGCTTTGGGTTTCCCAAGCTTATAAGCTGTGGATCCAGCTTATAATGGTACGTAATCTCATTTTGATTTCTGAGGCAGCTGGCAGGGATCATCCTTAGGAGTCAGGGAAAGAGAGGACTTGGCCCCTAGGATGTGAGAGGCAGTTTGGAGTAACAGTTAAGGCACAGGCTCTTGTGTCTGCTTAGAGTTCCGGTGTTGGGCAAACAGGTGTCCTTGGCCAAGCAGCCCTCGAGGGGGGCCACAGAGGCAGGATGGCAGGCAGCTGTGAGTTGCCAGCTGTGCCATTGTTGACGGGCAGGGCTGAGGCCAGGAGAGGGATCTGATCTTTGCCTATATTTGCAGACATGGTACAGAGTTCCCAAATACCCCTCCACCCAGTTTTCCCCAATGTTACAGGACATAATGTAACAGGACAGAATACCATGGTATGCTTGTCAAAATTAAGAAACCAAAATGGCACATTGCTGTGAACTAAACTCCAGACTTTATTCAAATTTCACTGGGTTTTCCACTAATGTCTCTTTCCCATTCTAGGATCCAATCCAGGATCCCCCATCCATTTACATGAGGCTTTTGGAAGCCCTACCCCTTCACCCCCTGTAGAATGGGGGCCGAGACACAAGGGCATGGGGGCTGAGGAAGGAACTTTGGCTCCAATGCTGTCTTGCCAGCACAGAGTCCATGCAGGTGGGGGCACCTCCCTCCCCTGTAGTGATGGGGTCGGGGAGGAAGCCATACAGTTGATCAGAATTGCTTTAAGCACCAGCTTGGAGCCAGGTCTGTGACATTATTCAGAATGCAAACCTCTTTATGGGTGACCCGCCTGCGGATTTGGAAAAGTTAACCCTGACCTTGCACTCTGCTTTGCCCCTCATTAGCTGTGTGATGATGACTATTCATCTCATGGGGAGATTGCGAAGAGTAAATGAGTTCAATACAAGCAACGTGCTCAGAGTAGGAGCTGGCATAACAGTGAGCAATACATACTGGTGGTTGTTATCAGAATAGGTGGAGGAAATCCGGCCTCGAGGATGAGGACGTTCAGGTTATTTGAGCTTTCTGCATTCAGCCCGACTTTCAAACATCTTATTACCTTTTGATTATACAAGTAGCTCATGAATGTGCTTATGAAAATTCAAATACTGGTAGAACTTGTCACCCCTGCCACCAGCTCCCCACCGTGCCCATGCCTGCCCTGTTCACCACTGTGTCTCTCCTGCCTGGCACATGGACCCTCTCCTGTTATTTTTTACCAGGGGAGAGAAAGGTCAGCTGACTCCATAGTGCACAGAGCAGGATCATTGTATTTGCATGTACTCAAGTGTGAACCATGCTGATTTTTGACAAGACCCTGTTTATAGCCAGTAAATGCTGGACATGAAAGTGCAGCCTTATCAGTCCCCCAAATTTTGGGAACGTCTCTTCGGGAAATATCTTTGCTGTTCATCTCAGCTGACTCTAACACACATTAGTCACTAGATTTAATGACCCTTGGCTGTTTCCAAAAGTCACCCCCGCCCCCTTGTAGGAGAAAGTTGTTCGTACCCTGATAATATTTGAAACAACATGTTGGGCTTGTGAAAGCAAATCCTACAGTGGTCTTATTCCTTATGGGCAAGGAGGGGACTCTGTATGCATAATACTTTATTTATATGAGTAGAAATGCATGAGTAAGTATCTACATGCCCCATAGATATGATTGGAGGCAGGAGGTAAGGATGAACTAGTGGGAACATGTGCCTGATTTTGAGAAATAGTTTAGGGTTTATAAAAGTAGGGAGTGGCTGGCATGATTTGAGAGTGTGTGTGTTTGTGTGTGTGAGAGAGAGAGAGAGAGAGAGAGAGAGAGAGAGAGAGAGAGAGAGAGAGATTGATTCACAGTGTGACTGGCTGGGCTCCTCTGGGACCTGAGCTTTGCTTGCTGCCCACAGATAAGTGATACCTCGCTATCTTCTGTCCCACAGCCCCCTCCTCCAAAAGCAGAAATGAAGAAAGGGCATAATGGAGGCAAAAGAGGTCAGGTCAGTATCTTGCCTTTTTACCACCCTTGTATGTGACGCAGTTCATCTACGTATTCCCTGCCCCTTGGTCTCTCCCGCAGTCACTTTGCTCCAAGACCAGGGCTAATGCAAGGGGGAGTCTGCACCAAACCAGGAGCACTGAACCAGGCAACCGAGAGCTGGAATATCACTCAGCCCTCGCCTTTCTGCCAGCAGGCGTCTAGCCAACCAATGGCTCCGAGGAGCATTCTGAGTAATAGGGTTACATTTGAAACCCGAGGCAAAGTGCTGGGGAAGTTGAATCTCTCTGCTAACTAAATGAAACGCATATCAGGTGCTTTAGATTTTAATCTTACTACTACTACCTAGGAGAGAAAGGCACAGAAAGATAGCCACTCCTTACATGTGGTCCCCGAAGACACTGAGGCACCATTTGCAATGACACATTGCCAGATCTCAGATTTTGCCAGGAGAGTTAGGCACACGGTTCTTGGGAAAGTTTGCCATGCTGGCTGCAAGAGCCTTGGGAGACACGCCGAACTTGTTCAGTTGGTCCCTTTGGTATTGTGGGTGCTCTGAACACAAGAATTTCCCCAACTCTTCCTTTATTGAATAGAAGGTTCCTCTCACTAACATTAGAAATGTTGGATGTACTGAAGGGTCCCAGGTTTGATTCCAGTCAAGGGCACGTATCTTGGTTGCAGGCTCAATCCCTGATCCCTGGCCCTGGTTGGGGCACATGCAGGCGGCAGCCAATCGATGTGTCTCTCTCACATCTCTGTCTCTCCCCTCCCTTCCACTCTCTCTAAAAATCCATGGGGAAAATATCCTCCAGTGAAGATTACAACTACAATAAAAATGTTGGATGGTTCTTAGAATTAATTAGGGCTACTGCCAGTAACAAGGGGATATTTAGAGCGAGGTTCACATTAGCTGAGTGTGGTTCACACACTCACACACACACACACCCTCAAGCCCTCAGAAGGACTGAAACCACTTCAACTTATGTGATGATCGCATGGTGCATGGTTTATGGCCCAGGCACGTCAAGGCTGGCCTCCCGGGAGAGGCGTGTGGCTGCCTTGCCCTGGCGTCCTTTGACTCCTCAGATCTTCCACTGAAATCTACCCTCAGCTGCACCCTCTGAGCTGAGGTCTTCAGTCCTTTTTAAAATGAAAGCTCTCCTGAAGGAGGGCCGCAGTGCTAAGTGTTAGCAGTTATATTCTCCTAAAGGAAAAGGGAGCATGGGAAAGAGCAGGTTTGGGGGAAGAGGGCAAAGGGAGGGACAGGCAGGACAGACCTTTACAGGGACAGCCTGGAAAGTCACCAACCTGGTGGTGCGGCTCAGGTGAGCCCACGAGCCAGGGCAGAGCCAGTAAAGGGATAACATGCGCACCCAGAAGACAGGGAAGTTGTTCTCCGGGCCCCGCTCGAAAACCTCGGCAAGGAAAGGAAGAAAATTACTCCCAGACACCGCAGGGCAAACCTGTGCCCCGAGGTCACCCAGAGGTGAGTGGGACGGAGACAGAGGATTAATCCAGAATCAGAGGAGCCCCCTCTGGAGAGTTGTTTCTAAAACGCACCCAACTCGGGAGACTCCCAGAACAGTGACGTGCTGTGTTCACACCCGTCATTTTCCTTTGACCTTGCAGCAGCCGGTCACTGGCAAGATGTCCCATCTGGGCTGCCTGACCATCAATTACGACACCATAGAGCAGCCCCTGCTCACCATACAAGGAATCTGTGCGAACCTGGGGCTAGAACTGGGGACGAATCTGTATCTGGCCATCAACTGTGCTGCGCATGAACTGGTGGACTATGTAAGTTTCTTCTGCAGAACATTTGCTTTTGGTTGACGTCACATTATTTTTAAGTTAGAACTGAAAGGAAGAGCTGATCTGTATATTTTTCAAATAGATCTCTTTTTGTTGTGGCTAATTTAAGGGGGTGGGGGTGGGTCCAAATATAAATGGAGTTAGCTAATGACCAGAAAATACATGATTTTTAAAAAGAAACAGAAAACATCCTAAGTATATATAGACATTCTGTCATAAAAGTGACTAGAATGGGTTGCTTACATTGCAATCATGAGAGCTATTGAAACATAATTTCACGGATTGGGATGTTTTGCTGAGTACAGTCACTTGGTTGGTAAATGCTGAATTTGTCAAGCGTGAAAAGTAGACCCGCTCTAAGTGTGTCTTGATAAACCCTTCTAGACACGTGGCTCTCGGAGTTTGTGCTGTGACTCACTTTTTAAATATAAAAATATTTCCAAGTTATTGAAGTTTATGGGTATATTTAGAGAATATACCCAATTAAGCCCATCACAGTGTTATCCACAGTCTGGGGGAGGGCAGAGCGTTAGTGATGAAACTTCACCTAGGGACCACACCACATGAAGTTATTTTAAAAAGCAAGAGAATGGAAAACAGGTTTTATCTAAGAACGTTGTAGCCCTCACTTCCTTGTAGCCCTCAATTCCTTTATCAGCAATTAACCTTTAAATGTGGGAAGTAGTTATGTTAGGAAAGCTATTACAGGTTGTCTGTTTCATACACATACTTTTTCCAAATTCATAAATGCTGAGTCCAGGTTTTATAAAATGCCCAGCACGTTCATATGCATTTATGGTGACTTGGTAGTTAATGTCAAATTCAGAAGATATGACCAAATAGAATTTCACTTTGATTTAGCATTCTAACTTTCAATTTCAAAGGAGAATCTGAACAGTATATAGAAACCTTAAGTTTCAGCTGATTTCTAAAAGTTCTTTTACTTTTCTAAAGAAACTAAGCACATAAAGGAATGCTTAATGTAATTTCCTGTTCTTCACATAATGATTGGTTCTTAGGCATACCATTAAGAAAAATAATTGCATGTTTTCATTAGCAATGAATACCAAGAACTATGACTATACTGACTCCTAGTGCTAACTTGAATGGGTATTTATTGCTCAGGTTGGGTAAAATATATTAGCTTGACATCACATAATTCTTACCATAATGTTAGTTCAAAGTCTAGCATTTCCTTACTGACAAGATAGGAGTTTAAAACGTTCAAGTATAGAAACTAAAAGTTCTTGCCCTTCGCCAGTTTGGCTCAGTGGATAGAGTGTCAGCCTGAGAACTGAAGGGTCCCAGGTTCGATTCCAGTCAAGGGCACGTTCCTTGGTTGCAGGTTCCATTCTTGGCCCTGGTTGGGGCGCGTGCGGGAGGCAACCAATCAATGTGTCTCTCTTAAGTCAATGTTTCTCTCTGTGTGTCTCTCTCCCTCCCTTCCACTCTCTAAAAATCAATGGAAAAATATCCTCAGATGAGGATTAACAACAACAACAAATAAACTAAAAGTCCTTGATGCTATTCAGTGTGAAAAAAGTTATGAAGTTCTTTGCATTATGGATTTCTTAAGAACCTGCTCATTCCAATGGAATCCAGTCCATTAGCGGCAGCAGGAAGTCACTAGCAAACCAAACAGCCATTCTGTTCCCTTCCAGCTCCCTCAGTATCCTAGGTGCCATCCCTAAACACAGACTTGGAGGAAAGGTGCTGTTTTACAGAGAACCTACAGATCCCGCAGCCCTGCTAACCTCTGTACCTAATGACTTGGGGGTTCACCAGACTTCAAATGAATGGGGTTGTACTAGAATTACTTTCAGGACAGAACTGGTACTACTAGAACCTGCATGCTGAGAAAGGAGTGCCTTCACATAATCACTTTATCTTTCAAAAGCCTAGCTCTGCTTTCAAATTCTAGAATATTCCCAGCAGAAGAAATCCGCTTGTTCAGTGTGAGTTGGAAGATGGTGGGTTCTGGCGAGTGGGCAGGTTTGCGTGGCGCTGTGGTTTGTTTTATGAACTTAGGTTGTTGCCCATCTACATAAGCACCACATCATAAACCTTAGTTTTTTGTGCAGAAGGCTTCATCCGAAGTCATTGGGTGATGCATCAAAGGGGATGGTGACTTGCTTTCCCCAGGTTAATATGGAACAGACGTTAAAAGTAAAATGGGTACATTTCTTATGTGAATATGGCCTGAAAAGAATCTGTTTGCAATCTTTTATGTGAAATGAATGAAAATGTGTTTGAACCCCATCTTTAAGATTTGAGGAATTCAGTGTTTACCCTCTAATATCTTCCTTACACTCGCCAGAGTAAGGGGAAGTATGAAGTGATGATGGGAACATACAAAAACACCACTGAGATGGTTGACCTGTATGTGGATCTGATCAGCAAGTTCCCTTCAATTATCGCCTTAATTGATCCTTTCAGGAAAGAGGTAAAAGGATTCGCCTTGAGTTTTATAATAAAATCTCATTCTTTTGGATCTGTCATTTGAAATGTGTTGTAATTTGGGCTGGGAATCAGTTGCTTTCTTCCGGCATCTATGGGAAAAGGCACTTACTAAGCAAATGAATCGCAGAAACACAATGACCTGGGAGTGTGCCTGTCCACGGAATGAAGCAAACTATCCCCAGGCACTTCAGGAGTAGCCGTACATTTACAAGCAACTTAACTGAGGGCCACTGAGCCCACTGTGCTAGCAGGAGCCTCAATAGGTTAATCATAGATCATTTTCAAGTGCTCATGGAAACAGAACTTCCACTAGGCCAGGGGTCCTCAAACTACGGCCCGCGGGCCACATGCAAGTACAAATATTGTATTTGTTCCCGTTTTGTTTTTTTTTACCTCAAAATAAGATATGTGCAGTGTGCATAGGAATTTGTTCATAGTTTTTTTTTAAACTATAGTCTGGCCCTCCAACGGTCTGAGGGACAGTGAACTGGCCCCCTGTTTAAAAAGTTTGAGGACCCCTGCACTAGGCCAACTGTTTTTAACCTAAATCCAGTTACTGCATATGCAGGAGAGTAACAAAGCCATATTTTTTTTTAAAGGTTTGACTTACTTTAATCTATTCAAGCTACTGCCTCTAACAAGGGTTGTTTATGTGCCACAGAAGACCATCTCTCTCCCTTAAAGAGCAAAACTGAAATTCTCGATTTATGAATGTGAGAACCATTAGAATTGAACTGAACAGACACCCTCTCTGAGATAACGCAGGGTTTCACATCTGGGGCAGGAAGTGTCAGGTCTGGTTGGGAGCCCCAGGCTCTCTCAGTCCTGTCTTCCCTTTCACGGCCTTAGCTCCACCCAGGCGCTTGCGGGAGGCACAGACTGAGCTCGGGCTTTCATCTTGTCTGTTTACCAGAAATAACAGTAGAACCTTCTAACCAGCCAATCTTTAGCAACATTATGGGTAATACAGTGGGCAAGGAAAGCCTGGGTTTGAAGAGCTTCAGAACCAACGTGGAGAATAGCAACTAATGTGTATAAACATTTTATTCACTAGATCTTTACGCTCAAATGTAATCGTTTTAAGTTTCTGCTCCGAGGAGCTCGTTAATCCGTGTGGCTGTGGTGTAGGCACCCTTCAGCTGCAGGTGCGAAAAGAAAACCATTGTGTTATCTCAGAAAGGCGTACAACTGTATGTGCTATATGATTCCTGTTGTTCTGTGGTGGTGTTCAATACCTTATAACGATCAATTCTTAAATATTCACCCAGGACTCTGAACAGTGGGACAGCCTCTATAATGCTCTTGGTTCCAGGTGTTACCTAATTGCGGGAAGTGCCTCCAAAAGCATTTCCACACTTCTAAAGGAAGGCAGCATCAGCACCCCCAAATCCAGTGGGCGGATCATAAAGCACACCAATCAAACGACGATGTCCGACTTGGTGGAAATAAGCAACCTCATCGACAGTGAGTAAAAAAGTCGAGGTCGCAAAGACTCAGCACGAACTCGGTTATACAAGGAGCCGAAAACAGGCCGTACGGTGGCTAATAAGAAGCATGGGCTAAACCTGGGAGGGAAAAAACAAACCCCGGCCCGCCGCCTGTGAGAGATCTGGTGCTGGGAAATAAAAGCGGCGTCTTCACTCCCCGGCGCCCCCTGTCAGCCCCAGCCCCGGAGGGCATCTCCTTTAGAGAGGGCCACCACGAAGGTGTGGCCAGGCCACTGCCCTGTCAGCTGCACATGACAGGACAGGGATCCCACTTGCCCACACTGGCTTTTTTTATTTTTTTATTCCTCAGATTTCACTTTCTTACCACCTTGAGGTCTTTCAACATGCTGCCCCCTCAGCCTAGAATGCTTTGCCCTGTCCTGTTACTTGGCTCCCTATTCCTGACCCTTCAGGTCTTCTTGCCTTAAGTGAAGCCTCCTCTTGGCATATACAGGGTGGGGCAGAAGGAGGTTTACAGTTGTGAGTACATGAAGCAGAGTTTATTCGTGTATTATTACCTATTACTATGTTATTGGCCGTACAAATAACTGTAAACCTACTTTTTGTCCCACCCTGTCTCTGCCTTCCCTGACTCCCTCCACCCCTTGCAGCAGACCTTTCTCATAGCAGCTTTATATTTATTTCCCCTTTGTAGTACTGGCCACAATTACTTGTACAATTATTTAGTGCCGGGTATCTCCCACTTGACTGTAGACTTCCACGAGTTCATGGGAGTCTTGTTCACTTACGCACAGTCCCTGAAACATAAATATCAGGAAGTAGGCAGAAGGCTAGTCTCAGACCTGGAGCAGGACTCAAAGTGGGACTGGCATCCAGGGGCCTGGGCGGGTGCCGGAGAAAGGAATGAGATGCCTGTAGACCCCAGGCCTGAGGCTGCCCTGGTCCAGGGCCCAAACTCGACAGTCAGACCATCACTCACTTCAGGTTGCTGCTGTAGCTCCCGCCTCTGAACACGCAAACACTGTCCCTGTAGGGAGAACTTTGGCTCATACTCCTTGTAGACTTTGGTAAATTCCAAGGGGTTTTGAGATCCTGAAATGATTAAATACTATCCACGCTGCTCTTCTGATAAGTCAACATTCAGAATGACAGGCTCCTTTGAATAAAATTCTACACAGTGAGTTGTAAAATACATTAGGCCAGTGGTTCTCAACCTTCTGGCCCTTTAAGTACAGTTCCTCATGTTGTGACCCAACCATAAGATTATTTTCGTTGCTGCTTCATAACCGTAATGTTGCTACTGCTATGAATCGTAATGTAAATATCTGAAACACTGTCCCTGTGAAAGGGTTGTTCCACCACCAAAGGGGTCGCGACCCACAGGTTGAGAACCGCTGCATTAGGTTCATCAACTCCCCATGCGATGCCTGGCATTTAAATGTCCTGACTCAAAGATGCACTTTTCCTCATTGAACAAGCACGAAATTGAATCGTGGCGTACAGCTGTGGTCTTAGAAATGCTATCGATCTAATTTGAGCATTTCCCCCCTTTAGGGGTAATACTGGTGACTCTTACTTACAATTTGTCATACCTTAAATTTGACGAAAGGTAGCATTCATTTAGTATTTAGCATCCAAGCTACTGGAAAGGGGTGAACAGATAAAACCAGGTATTGCGGGGGAAGGGGAAGCAAATATTTGGGTTAGAATTCTTAGGTGGTCAAACAATTGAATTGTCACAGGAAACTTTTAAATCTCTAGGCATTTTTACATGTTGCTCTCAGAGGCTCATGCATTTGCAAACTGTTTCTGTACCGCGGGAAGCTGAAAAGAACTCCTCTGCCTGCAGGTAAGAAGCACGTGGCTGTCTTTGGAAGCGCGGAAGGGGAGTCTGCAGATGACAGCCTCGTGGACCTGGTAAGTGCTGCAGGCTGGTCAACTGCAGAATTGCCAAAACACCGCTTTTATCGGGAACTGGTATTTCAGAGAAATACAGGCTTTGGCGGAGAAAGTCCTGTAACCTTTTAAAAAATAGACTTGCCTCCTCCCTTTTGCGAAGAGCTAAACTTTGACCTTTTAAAAAGAAGAGAAATGGAAGTCCTGGGGAAAAGGATGAGCACACTTAAATGACTGGGGTGTGCACCTGCCGTCTCACCTCCCAGAATGAAGTGAGGAAGGCCGGCACGCTCTCAGGCAGTCAGCGTGCCTACACGACCAGGGAGGTGTGTGATGCAGTGACACTCTCTGTCTGACACCCTCAGCTTTAAGCAGGCCCCCTTATCTATGTAAGACAAAAAAATGGAAGTGATGAGAGAAACACGCAAACAGCACACAGGGAGAGTGTCCTTTTAGCAAAAGGTGATTTCTCCATTTCAAAAAAGTTGTCTTTTGCCCTAGCTGGTTTGGCTCAGTAGACAGAGCGTCAGCTTGCAGACTAAAGGGTCCCGGATTCAATTCCTGTCAAGGGCACGTGCCTAGGTTGCGGGCTCAACCCCCAGTAGGGGGTGTGCAGGAGGCAGCCGATCAATGGTTCTCTCTCTCATCATTGATGTTTCTATCTCTCTCCCTCTCCCTTCCTCTCTGAAATAAAAAAATTAATTAAATAAAAATAATAAATAAATAAAATAAGTTGTCTTTTCCCTGCTTAAGGCCATTGGACTGGGTGTCCAGTTTATCAAGTTGGGAGGTCTTTCTCGCGGCGAACGGGTGACCAAGTACAACCGCATTTTCACTATAGAGGAAGAACTTGTCCAGAACGGAACACTGGGTATGTGCTGCTTTCTTGCTTTGTTTTCACTTGGCCGTGAACAAGAGAACAAAGACGGGAAGAGGGGGAATAGAAGTCCCCCAGCAGGAGGGCAGGGGACTCCAAAGGCTAGAAATAAGAGCTGACAAACCAGGATGGCATGGGCCACAATGTGCATTGTTTCCTTAATGGATTATCTGTTTACCCGAATGTTTAACACTCTCGCCAGCTGTTCGTCTTGATAAATAGGCTGCGTGATGCTTTTCAATAGAATTGATTGATTGGAATCTCCAAGCCTACCTTTTGTTGTGGTACAAATCAAAGCTGAGGTTTCTCTGCACAACCCAGGAGAATTAAAGGCAGGTTTTTCCTGATGGCTTTTGGAAACCACTCATTTTTCTGAAGACAACTAGTAGGCAGCGTGTTCATGTTAATGATGTGCTTTGGGAAGGCTGTCGTCTCAAGAGAAAGGAACCAATCACCCATGACATGAAACCTTGGTAAATTTGCATGGGTCCAATCACCTTGTATACTGGTTTAACTGGAGAGAAACACCCCAAATATGCAGTTTTACTTTTTATATTATTGATGGTGGTGGCCAAAAGTACCTTTGTAGCACACAGAGACATTAAAACAGCGGTTCTCAACCTGTGGGTCGCGACCCCTTTGGCGGTCGAACGACCCTTTCACAGGGGTCGCCTAAGACCATCCTGCATATCAGATATTTACATGACGATTCATAACAGTAGCAACATTACGGTTATGAAGTAGCAATGAAAATAATTTTATGGTTGGGGGTCACAACATGAGGAACTGTATTTAAAGCGCCAGAAGGTTGAGAACCACTGCATTAAAAGAAACCAATAGTTATTGTGGAATTCTAAAGCTACTTTGTGTTTTAAGATAGAATAAATGAATTGGTATACTGAAAACAGTATATGTTATTTACATAGTGCTGACAATTAAAACATGACCCTTTCTTGGATGCTGTAAATGAAGTCTATTAAAGGAGGTAGACGCATTGTAGACTGTATTGGGGAGCACACCCATGGAAGCAAGGAAGCAGTCCTACTCTATGACTCAATACATACATCAAAGAGGAAAAAATAGAGACACCAACAGAACTTGTGATTATAAATTTGTCATGTTTACCATCACGATCCTGAAACACACCCTAAGATTCACAGAAAAGGAAGAGATAATCGGAAGCCCATTTCTGAGTCACATAAAGGCAGTCAAAAATTACTTGGTGTTGTTTGGTGTGTGACACAGGCCTGTTGTTTCAAACAGGTAACAGTATAGTCTTCCTACACACGCCTGATTATTTTTTATGTCATACTGACTCACGGAAGCCTTAGGTCCTTACACGACTTATCACATCTCCAGCCAGACCTCCTACCACGAGGGAAACAGCCGCTTCAGGGCATCCAAAAGGACCCTCGTGGCCGGGGACCAGCCCTCCCTGGTGGCAGCGCAGGCCCCTGGATGCACAGATGAATGAGAATGCTCGGACACTGGCGGTGCTCCATAAACATGAGCAAACCGAGCGCCGGGAAAACAGCTAAGGAAACACGGTCCCTGCCACGCGGACCCCAGACCGCAACAGTCTGTCGGCACTTGTTTACCGCGGGGTAGTCAGTGGCAACGGTTTGTGCTCATGTACAGGACGGGCCTTCCCTCTAATTTACCTTCTTCCTCGTAGCCTTTCCTGCTAAGCCACTGCCCAAGTCCGCCGCATGTGGAATGTCCCAGAAGGCTGTGTAAGGGTGCAGTGCACACCGAGAAGAACAAGTGTCCCGCAGTTAATGTGTAACCAAAACAGGCCCATTGGAATGGTTCTGGAACCCTCTCTGATGGTGGTGGGGCACCTCTGAGGATGATCTTTAAATCAAACAGCATCAGCCTCGGCACCACTGGATCGGACAGTGAACACTGTTGTCGTTGCTTTCCAATAGGTTTCAAAGGAGAACTCACCTTTGTCCAGCTGAACGAGGAAGACGAAAAGGCTGCCGAGGAGCCGGAGGCCGCGGCTGCCGAGGCCGGTGAGCTGCCCGGGCGCCCGGAGCCCATCTTCCCCACAGAAGTCGTAGAGGAAGCGGCCTGAGCTCGAGCGCTTCCGGACCGGGCTGTCCACACCCACGTCCAGCCACATCCGTGTTTTCAGGCCGCAGGTCTGAAGTCTGTCTTCTTCATCTTGGTTTTGCTCTAAAACTTCACTAACTTTGTGCTTCTTCTCCTTTACCATTTGGTGAAATACACATATAGCCTTTCTGCCTGTGTGCGGTCCGTGTCTCACAGCCATCACACTTCCAGGGAGGTTCTGTTCACGTACCTGCGCTCCTGTCCATCGGGGAGGGAAGGGAATGGCCTCGTAAAAGTATCCGGGACTTGTGTTGCCAGCTCCGGACTCAGTTCAAACACCTCACACTTTACAAATGAAAACATCTCTGAGAAGCAAATCTTTTCCACCAGGAGCTCTCTGTGCCGGGAACATGTGTGCATCTGCGTTTACATTACACACCTGTGCTAGGAAGCACAGACACGGATTTGTAGCCAACCTCACGCGGAAGTAGGAGAGTTTCACCGTCCTGTGTAACAGCCAAGCAGTTGCCTTGGCCCCGATTCCCTCCTCTTTCTAAATGTTAGTTTTTCTTGTATTATGTATATCCTTGGGAGTCTCCTTCAATCCTTCTCGGAACAGGAATGAGTGTAAGTGAATAAACACATGCATGGGTGGAGAACTATCCTTAAGGGAATTAAATGCTCACTTACTGACATGACAGCACCTGACAGGTGACTGAAGACGGTGCAGGTGTAGGGTGACTGCCCCGCCCGCTGTGAGCCAGCAGAGAAGGAACAGAAATGAACTCTCTCCATCACGTACCTACGGATACCACCTGCTTTGTATGGTTTAGATTCTCTGTTAAAAGTTATCATTTGCTTTACCCCAAAATTATATAAATTGCTATGTACTGGCGTAGGGGAGGGTTGGCTAAACTTAGACTTCTGGCATATTCTATAGGTTGTCACTAAACACATGGAGGACCTCTCCTCTTGAAGAAGACTAACAGGGAAAAGTCATGGTCTGATGCCCAGGCCTTGCCCTCTAAGCCAGTGGTTCTCAACCTTCTGGCCCTTTAAATACAGTTCCTCATGCTGTGACCCAACCATAAAATTCTTTTCGTTGCTACTTCATCACTGTAATGTTGCTACTGCTATGAATCATAATGTAAATATCTGATATGCAGGATGGTCTTAGGCGACCCCTGTGAAAGCGTCGTTCGACCGCCAAAGGGGTCGCGACCCACAGGTTGAGAACCACTGCTAAGCAATGCCTCAAGGTCGGTTTCAGGGCCGAGTCTCCCAGAGCCCGGGCAGGAGGACTGGGGTGTCAGTCCATGCCGGGAGTAGAGCGTCCAGGCTGTGGCTGCTACCGCCTCTCTTGCTGCTTACAGCAAACAGGGATCTGAGAAACTGGAGGGAAAGTCCATCTTAAAGGCAGGAGGAACAGACTGGGTGTTCACATAGCCTTTGCACGTGTACATGGGTATGCACACACACACGCATTGAAACATGGGAGATCATATGAGAGCATGCCCTGGAACTATGATACAAGTTATAATTGGATGACTGAAACCAGAGAAAAAATGTACAACTAAGTAAATAGTTAAATAAAGTGAACCAATGAGGTGATTGATGACCTCAACCCGATCAGCACTTTAATTTCAGCACAGAGCGCAGCCCATTCACCTTGACCGCACTTGAGGACTGGGGCCACCAGTGGGTAGGTAGCATTTTAACTTAAAAATTTTTTTAAAGTGATAAGCACTGTTTCTGTTTTCTCTGTCTACATTTATTATGTGATAGGTAATACATATAGAGCAGATAGATCATCTGTAAGATACCAACTGTAAAAGAGGTAAAAGAAACTAGTCATGTCCCATTTTGAGAAACGACAGAGGGACTGGGAAAGGTCAGTGTGCGGGAGAAACTTCCATCCAGCCCTTAAGTGGGAACTGCTTGGTGACCCTCCCAAGGTCAGTGATGATGATGATGGACAGCCATCCACCCTCCCCCACTTAGTTCCACAGAAGCTCAAGTTGTCCCATGATTGAAGTGATTACACATGTATAGTGTGCATTTAGGATTATCATCCAAACTTTGTTTTGTAAGATTCTGTGATATGGACTATCATTGACCTGACAGACAACCTTCAAATTGTCTGGAAAGATAAACAGTGATTTTTGCCTGTACTACTCCATTTCCAACATCTTATTGTTACGATGGATAACTGCACTGCCCCTTCCAATTGTACAACAGCCTATGTAGGGTATCTATACTTTTTATCTGCAAAGAGCTACGAGCGTACCTTGAAGACGCAAGCACCAGTCTTCCCAGGTCTCCCACCCCCACCTAACTGCTCGCTGACAACGACACCACAGCAGGGGCAAACTTTCCTAAAAACTGACGTGAAAAGGGAAAAACTGTAGGCAGAGAAAGGTGAATAAAATCCTACATCAAATATCTTCATATCAAATTAATTTTAAATGACTGTGACCACGGCGAAAGAAAGTAAGCAGCTTAGAAAAGGCAAGAACACTCCTGCCCTAGCTGGTCTGCGCACCGAAGGGTCCCGGGTTCGATTCCAGTCAAGAGCACATACCTCAGTTGTAGGCTCCTCCCTAGCCTGGGCCCTGGTTGGGCCACGTGCAGGAGGCAACCAATCTATGCGTTTCCCTCTCTCTTCCACTCTCTCTGAAAATCAATGGAAATATATCCTTGGGTGAGGATAAAAAAAAAGAAAAGGCAAGAACAGTCAAAATACCAGTTACTGCCTGCTGCCTGGCCCAATGCAGGACCCTGGAAGCGAGGCTGCTTCTATAACTGCGCCATTCTGTCATGTGTGTGATGAACCAGGGAACGGAGCACACATCCTCCTGGTGCTAAATGTGGATGACACACCCCTGTGGGCTGATGACAGACACAGGAGGGAGGACAGCACGAAGCAACAGGGAATAAAGTCCTCAGAATACACCACTTTGTGAGTTATGAAAACTTACGGACGTGATCAGCGCTCCTGTCATTTCCTTTTAAAGAATGTCCGATTTGGGGAACTGAACCAAACATGTCAATAACCACAAGTGACGTTTCGTGGGAATCTGCGGGTGCTTTTTAATAAGTGGGGTGAGGAAGGCTCCAATCACAGCAGAACAGAACTTGTTTAGGTGAATGAATGCAGTTAGTGAGTATATCACACAGCAGCAGCCTCCCGTTAGAGAGCGTTACAGTGGAAAACATCACACTTCCATTTCCCAGGAGTAAACTGCTAAGTAACTGTAAAGTCGTCCCGGGAAGAACACGGCAACAGTCAAGCATAACGAACCTACAGGAAGATCATTGTGTCCAAATCGAGGAAGGACGCGTACCTGCCTGCCTGCCTCTTCAAGCCTATGCTTCGCACACGTGCAAAAATCGAGTACAATACAACTACTGCAATTATTACTATCATTTTCTCTTGCCCTTAGGTGAGCAACACCTGACAGCTACATGCTGAGCTCGGCTAACAAAACGAAACCTTTCACTTCCTTTAATAGCAAAATTACCATTACTGAATCACTGTCGTAAAAAAATGCATTCAAGTACATGACCACTTATTTTAAATAAACACCAATTTTGAAACAATCAGCTTTGAAAAGCTGCATACGTGTTTGTGTTTTTAATCCCTGATTACATTTCTATTTATTCACTGTGGTAGACCGAAACATTGTATTTTTAGAGACTAACTACCACTTAATTTCTTACAAAAACAACAACAGCAAAAAACAACAAACCTGTGTAATGTAGAACAGCAGTAAAGGAAATTGTCTGCTTGTCGCTGCTCTTCACTGTATGTTAAGAACTGTGATGAAATATGGTGCCTGTGCCCCATGAGTACATGAGAAAACACAGTGAACTCAGCACAGAGCAGAGGGTTTGCCAAGATAAGACTCTGTTACATTCAAGGACTGGACTGCACCTCGATTCTGCACTCGGGCCACGAGCGCATTCCCACCGAAGACCTTGGGAGGTTTGGGACTCAATCTTCAGCATGTATTTTCATCCCATAGGTAACAGTGTGCATAATTAACACTGATTATGGGGCCACTGGTATGACGCCAGCACCTGAATTTTAATTTTATCTCGGTATATCCTAGCAAGTAACTTGCATGCCACAGTACCTAACAATTCCCATGCTACTGCGGTTTCTCCATCAAAGAGGATTGGGTCCAAAAAAAAAAAAAAACCAGCTCATGTGAGGGCTTTTTAAATCACCTCAAATTGTACAGTTCTGTTTATCCAATTATCCACAGCCCTACAAACTTTCAGCATGACTTTTGAATAGTGGTATGTACATTAATAAAAAGGATAGAAACATCTGAATTTTCTGTAGCCTTCTAAAAGAAGTCACATTTCATACAGTAATTAGGAAAAAAAAAACACCTTATCCCTATGAATATAAAAAACTACATAGAATGTGCATTTTGCTAAACAGCTTACTTACTAGTATATTGATAGGCGAACTACTTACAAAAGTGACATCAGAGAAGAACCTGTTTTCTGAATCCAGGGACAAGAACAGAATGTCTCTAGAACTAAACATGTGCTCATTGAAACGGACTTCTCCTCATGTCACCTTCTGGCTCAAGGATCAGCAGCTGGAGCTGTCTGTATCTCTCATTTTTTCAGCACTGTCTTCTTTATATTCTGGTTTAATTTCACCGTCATCATCCTTGCATGGAGTTGGATCTTGTTCGGCACCCTGGTCTTTGGTTTGGGGTTCATGTGTGGAAACAGGATCTAAAACTACAACTGGTTCGGCTTGGTTTTCACTGCCAATGCATTGTCTCCTCCATCCCGGGTCACTGGGAGGCCTAGGGGATGAAGAGTTAAACAACAAAATAATTAAAAGCAGAGGGAAAAATATTTGTCTTTCCTACTCCTGGATTCAGACGAACAAAAAACACCCCAAGACGTTCTAAGTCTAAGCAACATGCGCACAAAGTGGTCTTTGAGGTGCCAGCCATTTACAAAAATGAAGCTATTAGGTTACAGATTTAGGAGCACAAAGCCAGGAGAAAGAAGGCGGGAAAAAG